CCCATCTGACAGTCAACCTCGCCGCGCCCGCCGACTGGGCCACGCCTTTCGCGAGGGTGAATGTCGTTCAACTGTCCCGCAAACGCGCCGCGCGCTTCTGCAAGTGGGACAACACCTGTTGGCCAAACAATGAAGAGCTTGCGCCCGTGTCCAGCAACGCCGAGAATTTGCGACCGACAATGGGGACCGAAATAAACGGCGCGTGCGCACCAGCAAGACTGCTTGCCCGATACGCAAAGGGGAGAAGCAAGGGTTCGGCCGCTCGTGCCTTCACGAAGGGCCCGCGCTCCCGTTTCCCCTGCCTCACAGGAGGCAAAAACGCGGAGCACTCCCTCCCTATGTGCCCTCGTTGACGGCAGCGGAAGCAGCGCACTCCATCGCGGTCCCTTTCCCGAGACGCAGCTTCGAGCTGCCGGGGTCGGTTCGCCGCGTGATCAAAGAAACCGCTCTGACGACCATTACCACCGGTGATGCGCTGGGTCGAATTTCGCCCCTGCTCGCGCGCGTCGAGTTGCAATGCAGCATCGGCTGCACGCCTCCCGTACGTGTAGGGATCTAAAGCTCGATCGCTTATCTCCCACGCGCGCCCACCTGTAGCGGCAGCCGCAAAGGTAGCCCCGGCGGGCTGTTGCCGCTGAGAAAGGGTCAGCGCGGTTCGAGGGCCTCGCTGGCTGGCGGTGGCGGGTGATAGGAACGCGCGGCGAGAATGTTGCCTTGGATGCACTTTGCCTCGACGGCCAATTCCTCCAAATCACGGAAGCGACTGCCGCGCAGGTACGCCGAAAAAGTCGGGTGTGCCTGCCTAATCACCTGTTCGACGCGCTCCTCGTTCGAGGCTCTGGGCTCAGCGATAGAAAAAAGGTCTTCCATCGCGCGTACGTACTCCTGAAGCGACTCATCAGGAGCTAGTGCGCGGAGCTCGAGCTCGCGCCGCATCCTACTCGTAGTTAGCGGGTAAGAATTCGGGCAGGAAGGCCGCGCGGAACTCATCGAGGGTTGCTGCTCGGTGGCCGGAAAGCCGATGCCACCTGGCCGTCGTGTCAGTCAGTGCAGCAGGGACGACGCGTCCGAGCACTTCCTGGTCGTGTAGACCCATGGCTCTCTGATAACGTGTGAGGGGGTCCAGGTAATCTCTTGCACTTTGCAGATCACCGTACCCGCTGTAGGTCGGAATGGCCAACATGACAGCGGGATGAGGGCGTTTCGGAACGGCTGAAAGCGTTTGGACTGCCCCCGTGAGTGCCTGAATCATTTGGGCGGCATTTTGCAGCAGCGTCTGTGCGCCCGCTTCAAAGGAAGCTGTCGGTGCATTAGCGGCGCGGGCGAGCGATGGGGAACTGTCTCCAAGCTCGATAAGCGGCGTGGTTTCAAAATGGATACCGGCCGTCGCGACTTTGGGGAGCGCCTGTTTTTCACAGCTGACTCTTGGGGCAGCTTCACGTGAAAATGCTAGGCCGCTTGCGGCTAACGGTGCAGGCGCGTGCTCGAAATGAGCTTGGCTGCTAGGTTGCGTAGTAGCCAGCGGGCAAAATTCGGCAACGGCTGAGGCCTCGGTGCCGATCTGCGCCCCGGAAGGTCAACTGAGAGCCGTTTCGGAGCGCTGTGACATAGAACTGCCATTCATTCCAAAGGGAGCAGTAGTAGTCCAATTTGCCCTTGTGCACTGTTCGGGTTGGGCTATGGCCCCGGACCCAAAACACGCTACCTCTCCAGTGGGAGCTGACACGTAGCGCCTCGTGTCATCCCGACTGGGGCTTGTGACAAGTGAGGGTGCGCGATTGTGATGCTCAAGGGGGGCACTGGCCCTGTTCTCGAGCAATGCGATATCTGCTAAAAGCGTCAACAGACAGAACTCACGCGGAGCAGACATAACGCAGGTAAACGTGGCGAGCCTGATTCGCAAAGGCGGGCTGACTCGGCTAAGATAAATCAAAGGCTTAATGAGCCTTTGATATCGCGTTGGGCGCCAGTATGGTGACCCAGCTACTAACTGCAGTGGATCACCGCGGTTCACGCTTAGCGAGCCACAGGGCCGCTACTCCGTTTACTCGCGTGTAGCGCACCGCTCCGCGCGCGCTCAACTAATAAGGCGTTTGGCGAGGCGCGGCAAATAGACAGTGTTCTAATGCAAAAGTACACAACACTTTATTGCCTCTGGCGGCACCCCGAACAACAGTACAACGTCCGCTCACGGGACGCGGGTAGCAAAGGCACCGCACGCGGACGTTCACAATAAGGGGAAAACCGCGAGCACGTCGCAGCTGGCAATGGCGAGCTTTGACACGCCGGTCGGGAAAAGGTCCCTCGCGGCTATGCTGCGCACTCTCACGATGGCCAATGGGCCTGGTCGCGAGTGTTAGGGCAAACCTCGTACGCGTAGGCCTACGGCAAGTGCAGCTCATTGTGGTACGACCACTTTAAGCACTAGGCACCGCTGTGGGCTTAGCGTACGCTACCGAAGCTAACACTCAAGTAAACACGCCTGCCAAGGTGCCCAAGACACCCCAGGCAGGCTACAGTCCGGCGATTCTCAAAGGGGACGCGGACGAAGGAAAACACGTGCTTACCCGGCGCCGACCACGGAAAAGAGAGCGCTCCCTCGGCGCGCGCGTACCGCGTGCTGTGCCCACACGTGGCGCCATCTATCGCCACGTGGTGTTAACAGAGCAGAAAAGCAAAAGGGTGTGGCCGTGTGGCGAAATGCCCGCGAAATGGTGGCGGGCGCGCCTCAGATCCCCACAGACTTTGAGCAGTACCATGTTCTCGCCACGGCGACGGTTAACGCATGCCCTGCGGCTCGCTAAGACCGGACCCACACTGGTGGCCGTACTTTTTCGGGATACGTGTACACCACACTGGCGCCCAACGTGGGGCCCGAACCCACGACCCAGAGATTAAGAGTCTCATGCTGCACGAACTGAGCTAATAGTGTCATTTTAATTGCATGGGTGACGTCCGGCTGTTTTTTGCAGACCGGTAAAGGGCAAATTTAGGAGAGGGGGATGTGGGAATTGAGGCTAGCCGGCTGCCTTTGCGCGGGCTTTGCCGCCTTTTCTGCCGTTCTCATGTCCCGACATGTCTGCCCTTCTTTGCTGTCTGCCACGCTGAGAGAGCGGAGTGACGTTTAACCCCCTCACCCGGTAGCGGATGCTGACTGTGGCACCGCGCGTGGTCTCTCTTGAGAGGTTTTCACGCGCTGCGTCAGGAGCGGACATATACTCTCCGAGACTGCGAACGGTGAGCCACGCAATATTTTCTGTCCGTTGACTCCCGTCGCTCGGGGCTCGTCAGACTTCGCTGACGGCGCCTGACGCCCGAGGCGAACGCTCACCTTTTGTTGCCCCACTGCGTACGCACGGCCGAAGGGTGGTACGGTCCTAGTGCGTGGCCTAGCACGCCGAACCGTCTCCCTCCGAAGCCAATGCGAGCGCCTTTGCTCTCGCTCGAGCAACCGGGCCTTTGTTCCGGTGTCTCCGTGAATCACCTTTACCGCGGAGACGTGCTCGTGGCACCCTGTGTAGTACTTTTATGCCCGTGGCGTGGATAAGCCTATTTGCTTGCCCGCCGCGCCTTTGGAACGGGCTGTTCTGCGTTTGGTGTTGCCACAATAAAGTGTTGCGACTTTGAGCAGTATCGTGTTCTCGTCACGGCGACGGTTAACGTGTGCCCTGCGGCTCGCTAAGACCGGACCCACGCTGGTGGCCGTACTCCTTCGGGATACGTGTTACCACAAGGTGATCAAAATAACTTTCAATTAATGACTAATTAAAAACAAAACAGTAAGAGGCACATAAAAACTGAGTTCATATTTGACATCTGTACATGTAAATACACCATCTCATTAGTTTTCATCACCCTAGCTTAAATAATAAGATGTCTGATGGCTAAGTACCTCTTCCCTCCTTAAATCGGTGAAGCCACATGCTGTTGTCAGCAAGCTTGTTTCACCGAGTGCAGCAGCAAACCATTTGGGCTTGGGGATCAGCATGGGGCCATCCCCTGGAATGTTCTTCGTGTGCACTTCTAAAAACCAGGCATAGAGTGCCTTTTCTACATTTCCGTGGGCAGAAGCGCGCACATGACAGGCTCCCGACATTTGCTGCTTCGCTGCTTTTGCCTTGAAATCTGCCTTGTTTTTCAATAAGGTTCTCAAGTGCTCCGTGGTATCCCGAAGTCGTCCGCGATGGTCGAACATTTCTCGCCCACCTCAACACGCTGAATGGCCTTAAGCTTCGTTGCAAAGTGAAAGGTTTTATGCATCTTGATGCTGGCCGTAGCACACGTGAAGTCGACAATTCAAAGAGTCTTCAGCGGCTTTGCACACCACGCACGGAAAAGAGAAATGCTGCACATGTGGCGGTACGTAGGCGACGCGACAGCGGAAGCAAGAAAGCGCTCGCAAGGCGATGGCCATCTGCGAGGGCAACAGCAAAAGGCGCAAGCTGTGGTTGGCTGATCAAACCTCGCAAAACAGCGACAAAAAATAAAAGGAAAGGTGAAAGGAGGAGGACGTCATCTCGTTCGTTCCTGCCCTTTGAGCCGACAGGTACGTGGAGAAAACAAGAGAAAGAAAAACGAAAAAAAAGAAGAAAACAGCCGTTTCGCTAGTTAGAGATTATGCAGTCCAAGTCCTCTCGCCCTTTTTTTTTTATGTTTCAGGTTTTGGTGCAGGCGTGGTGCTGCCGGGCGCTGCGAGGGTCAAAGCGCGTCTTCCAACTCGTGCGCGGAGCCGCTCTGCCGCGGGGAGAGATCGCGAAAGGGGGGGGGGCGAGTCCTCACGCGTCGTTAGATATATCTGAAGGCGGGTAAAAATATCGTTCGATATAAGCGTGCGAATTTCTATACTTTCAAAAACATTTTAAGAGGATAAGTTGTGAGTTCGATATATGCGTGTTCTATATAACTGTGCTCGACTGTGGTTGTTTTTGCGTGTAAAACACCCCAGAACCTGATGACTTTTTTTCTTTTCAACGCATTAGCATTTTCTTTTCTCTGCACAGTGCGGCCGACCTGTATGTGTTGGAGCACCTGGATAAGGAAGTGCAGAACCAACCGGAACTGTGTCCTCTGCGAATTCTCTACGAGTACCGAATGCCCAGTCGCGTGGACCGACGCCTGCTCCAGTACTGTCTCGAGGTGGGTGTGGCCGATCACTCATGAATGTGCTTGTACATTAGGCTTGTGAGAATGCTCGACTGCTTCGAATATTCGAACAAATATCACTGTATTCAAATTCGCTTCTATTCGAGTTTGGATTGCTGGAAATTTCAATACGAATGAGTGAATTTCAGTTCGCTTGTAACCCCTTTAAAGGTGGTTTCACTGCTGTAGAAGGGTGCCTAGCCATGAAAGCATCTATTATATCAAGGTGCATATGAATCTGCATGTAACTCATTATGTCTACTTAGGACAGGTAGTAACTGCGGAGTCGATCCTTGTGAATAAAGTAACTACAGTTGAACCCCACTACAACGAATGCCGATTCAACGAAATTTCCGCTACAACAAAAAATTCACGCTTCCCTGCAGCAGTCCATAGGAGTCAATGTATAAATATTTTCGTCACAGCGAACACTCTTTCTCTTGCCGTCCCGCTTCAACGAAATTTCACAATGCAATTCCAGGCTCAGATACTTTTTGCTATGCACTAAGCCCAATCTTATAACACTTGATGCATTTTGAGAACCTGAAAATACGTTGTCGAAGTCTAAAACACGTTGGCACCACCAGAAACCGCCCCTGTTCAGCAAGCATGGGCGTTGGACGCTGCTGGGAAAGAATAAAAAGCAGCGGACACTTTTTTAATTTAAAAATAAACACTCCTTTGTTTCGCTAGCTCAGATCAGCTATATTTTTTCGATTTCATTACAACAAAATTCTCGCTTCAACGAAATATTTTCCTCGCCCCGTGAGTTCTGCTGTAGCGGGGTTCGAGTATAAAAGAATAAGGATGGGGTGGATCACATTCGACAGGTATTCTCAAATCATTAATGTTAGTGTATTACTGACCCTCAAAGGAAGATCAAGTCGAATCTCATTAATTCGAACACACTTAATTCGAACTCTGGATGAGGTCCCGTCAAAACTATTGGCGAAAACGCCCGGTAATTCAAACGCGCAAGCACTTTCGACGTTTAATTCGAACATACCGCACTCGGAAAATGCTCTCAGCACCCCGCCCAGTCCCGCGGCGGCACCTCCGACACCTCAACGCTGTGCGAAAAAGGAAAAGAAAAAGAAAGAAAAGGCTGCGGTAAAATTTTTGCTCTCTCTCAAATGCCGATCTGTGACGTGCCTTTGCCACGCTTCTCCCTTTTCCGCCCCTTCCATGAGGCACTGCGCCGTGCTCCCAACCGGGCTATAGAAATTAGGTGCCTTTTCTCCTCTTCTAACCCCTACCACCACCACCCTGCCACATAACGACCCTTCTCCTTCCAAAGCCGTGCGCAAAGAGAGAGAGAGAGAGAAAAAAAAAAGCTGTCGTGGAGTGTGGCTCTCTTTCACGTGCCTGTGCCACGCTTCCCTTTTTCTCGTCCCTTCCACTTAACCCTTCTCCTTTCAACAATGCGCGCGAAGAGAGCAAAAAAAAACAAAAAGCTGCCGTGGTGTGTTGGCTTATCTCAAACGCCGATATGCTTCTCTCCGCATGGAGACGCTTCTTCTTGTCACGTGCTGGCCACGCTGCGGCTTTGGCGCAGAAGGTAGTAGCGGCACGGTCGCTGGAATAAAGAGCGCACCGTGCGCTTTTTCATCCAGCGGCCATGGTAGCGGAGATACAGTCATTGTTGTCATCTTTAGCGAGTGTTGGCGCTGGACATTGCAGGGCACAACTTCTATTGCCAGGAGAATGCTAGCGCCAAAGTAGACATGCTTGTCGCCATGTCGGGCTTTACCTGCAAGGTCCGTGTTGGCCCCTTCTGCAGGCTCAGCGACTTTACTCGTCGAGGCGGAGGGTGGCTCCCTTCCTCATGAAGGGTTAAGCCGGCTTTTAGCCATGCTGGTGCATGAGGGTACGCCGAGTTTGCGTGCAGCGGCATCCGTTTCTGCACCAAACAGCAGTCCTGTAGTCCCAAAGGGATGGGTTGTGTCTCGCTGGGCCCTAGCGGACAGGAGACGGGGAGTGACCGCAGCGCGCCTCACGCGCTGCGTTAGCCCACCTTGCCAGAGTACGTCCGCTTTGTGTGTCGTGATTGATATACTGCACCGAACGGTAGCCCCTATTTAGGGTCTCCCGGGTTTGCATGCTAAAAGGCAGGCCGCGTCTGTTTGGCGCCTGGCGCCGAGCGGCGGCCCCCTTGCCAGGCTATGGCCTTTTGCTCGAAACAAAAACTCCCTCTCACACGACCCTGGGGGGCAAGACATGCCGGGACAGTCGTATGGATGATGATGGGTTGATGAGTTATGTGAGACTCTGAGACAAAGCACCTTTGGCGCCGCGTTTTCTTCCCATCTGACAACGGCATGCTTTACAAGCTGCGTGCGAAATTGATTGACTCGCTGAAAGGCAAACATGTGCAGACGTCGGATGTCCTGTGATTTGTGAATAAATGTAAGTATTCTGAAACTTCCCCCTCGTGTGTTAGCTCGATGAACGTGCGCCACTGCATGGGGAGCCCTCTGTTTACTTAGCTTTCATTATTTCGAACTTATTTTAATTCGAACAACTTTTTGGGCCCCTTTGAATTTGAATTATCGAGATGCTACTGTATATAGCATCAGCATCTTGCCGGTATTTACCGTAAAAACGGGAATATAGGTCGAATTAAAGAAAAAAAAAACAATGAAAAGTCATCCCTCGTCTTATATACCGGTAATTGACAGAAAAAAAAGTAGAAGTCTTGTAACAATGGGCAGCTAAGGTCGAAAGCTTCCATTGCCATCGTGAGCACCAGCAGCAGCATCGTTGGGCAAGGACTACAGTGTTCTAGCAACGCCGTTTTCCCTCAGTTATCTGCTGTCAGTCTGCTGTTTTCTTTCTTTTTTTGTTTCCTTCAAAAATGAGTGGTAGTCGATGGCAGTTTACGATAGGCTTTGAGAGAAAAGTTATTGAGTATGCCGAAGCGCACAGCAACCTAGCGGCACAACGGGAAATCGGTGCATCGGAGAAAAGCGTTCGATACTGGAGGAGCCAAAAACAGCGCATCACATTCTGCAGCAGCAACAACAATAACAATAACAACAACAACAACAACAACAAAAAAAGAACATCGGGTCATGGACGGACTGCACTGCACTCCGAACTGGGAACGCCACACGCCAAATTTGTCTGGGAGCTGCGTGCAAGATCGCTACCCGTAACAGTGGAGTACATCCGCGTGAAAGCCCTTGAGATAGCGCGTGACTCAAAGCTCACGAGGGTGCAATTCAAAGGATTGCCATCGTGGGTGTGCCGATTTATGAAGCGGAAGGGTTTCGCGCTGAGGCAGCATGCATCCGTCTTTCCGCAAATGCTGCATCAGCAACGCATTGGATGGAATGATGTACTCGGGGACGTTACTAGGGAAAAACAGACGTCGTTGGACTAGAGTTCGAACGAGTCTGAGTGACAGCACTTTGTGGCCTTTTGGTGTTTAACTACATAAGATTAGTGTTAAAATAAAAAGAAACATCACCACAGTGCACCTGGGTATGTCACATATTTGTCAAGGTAAGGGTGCGCCGCAATAATTTGGAATTTTTAAATATTTTTTTTGGAGATTCAAAGTTTGGGGAGTCGACCTATATTACAGTTTTTTACGGTACCTACGGAGCAGAAACCTTGAGGCTTGCAAAGAGGTTCTTAAGTTGAGCACGACACAGTGAGCGATGGAAAGGAAAAGGGTATCTGTAACCCTAAAAGACAAGAAGAGAGCAGAGTGGGTCATGGAACAAAACAGGTTTAAGTACAGTAAAACCTCGTTAATTTGAACTCGGTTATTTAGAAATCCTGCTTTATTCGAAGGATTTCCGTGGTCCCGTATTTTGCAATGTAAGTTTGAGTTGATGATTTGAAGCGGCGGCTGGCACCAGTCCGGTTAGTTAGAAAACTTCGAGTGCAATGTGCCAGTTTCAGATCCCGGTTTCGCCGCAAATCCCCCGAAATGACGGCCCTTAAGAGTCACAAGGCAATGCAAGGTAGCGATACTAATGAGTGTTAGCTGAAGCACCCCAGCCTCGCTACTTCGAGCGCAAAAAAAAAAACACGGTCTTGTGGTCAAAAACGTGTGCCCGAAGAAAGCTGGACGTGCTTCACTGCAACAGAGCGGTGACGCGCTGGCAGCATATTGCATGTTTTTAGCAACACAGAGGGACATAGTTCACTAATTTTTTCTGGGATCGTTAAACAATTAATAAAGCACAGTTAGGCGGAGTTCGTGACGCATGCGAACCTCCGATTGCCGGTTTCTTCAGCAATTCGCACTTTTGCATTGCTGGCAGAGTTCGTGCCAGCAACACCTACTTCTATTCAGGTAAAAAATTGCGCTGAAATAGAAAGGACACCACAAAGAAGGAACACTTAAACAGATCGAGCGCAACGTCCTTTCTATTTCAGCGCAATTTTTTACCTGAATAGAATGAACCAACTAGCCCCTCAAGACGTCCTGAACACCTACTTCGTAAACTAAGTTAGAAAGGTTCAAAGATCATTTTTCCCAGCCACAGTGCATTATAGTTTCCTCATACTGACCATTACTAAATTCGTAATTATACCAGAACGAATGTGCGAATGGTCGCATCATGACGTGCCGACGCAGCGAGGTGCAGGTGACATGCTGCCCGCGTGTCACTACCGTGTTGCCGTGAAGATGTCTTGTTTTCCGCAGGCGCGCATTTCAGTTGATCACGACAGCGTTTTTTTTGTTTTTTTTTCACTGGCAGCAGCGAGGCCCGCCGTTCCCTCGTGTTTGCGGGAAAATTAAGACCAGGTATTGCCGAAAAACATAACCCTTGGAGCCGCTAGCTAGTCGGCACAGCAAACGACGAGCACTGATTACTTTGAACAGTTCTAAGCTCCTGGCATCCCACTTTTTGAATGTTTCGTTAATTTGAAAACCTGCTTAATTTGAAGATTTCTCGCGGCCTCAGTGACTTCGAATTAACAAGGTTTCACTGTATATCATATTTAAAATCAATAACAAGAAATGCACATGGGTCAGGCACTTAGCGCAATCAAAGGTAATCTTAATTCAACCTTGAAGTGTGGCTTCACAACAGTGCAGATTTTGTCTGGTTAGGTGTTCTCAGGGCTTAGCACCCCTTCAGTGCACTGAAACCACCTTGATAGGGGCTTGCATGCAGACTAACGCGCAAGTAAATCAAGGTGCGTTTCAGCTGAAAAGGTCAGACGATGACATTTAACTAACCTACATGGCTACAGAAAAGCTCACAAAGCTGATACGTGTATGCTGTGGGCTATCATTAAAAGTGAAAGTTGCCCGTATTTTGACGAAAACTTCGTTTCTCACGAAAGCGAAGCAGATTTGTCGTGTCACGAAGGGCCCAGTTTCTTCACTAATGCAGGAAACATGCAAAGTCATAGTGTTGATTTCTTGTTAACACTGAGGCTAGCACAGACAGACAAGGGAACCAATAGTGCTGCCATCGTGTCGCTTATTCACCCTCCTTGAGAGGGCGCTCCTAAATTCCGCTTGGTGGCACGGCAATCTTTATTTATTTTATTTTTTTCAAGGGTCCCTAACAGAAGGGAAATTTCATGAGGGGTGGGCATACAAGGGATGAGTAAAGGTAAAGTTGCATGTGCAACAAAACAAAAAACAAATTTTAGGACATAGCTGAAGCGGCAGAAACAAACAAAACAAAAAAAGAAAAGAGGGGGGGGGTAACAGGTACACTTGTTTGTGGACTCTAGATAAAAGCATTTTACAGTGACTAAAGATACCACTTATGAGGTACAAAACCTTGCCAAGTACACAAAATATACGTACACGCCATACTAGGAAGATGACACTAGAAACCATTACACAAGATTTAGCATGGTAAGTCACAAGAAAAAAACAATTATTACAGTTCAGTGATGGTTGATAGGTAATTGTTAAAGGCTTCTGCATTCTGAATGCTAACAATGGTATCTGGTAGGGCGTTCCATTCCTTAGCTGTCCGAATGAAGAAAGATTCGGCAGATGTGGTAGTTTTGGTACGAGGGTAATGTACTTGCATAGTGTTGCAACAACGATTAGAGAAATAGGGGCGTTTAGTGACGTAAATGCTGGGTGGGGACGCGTGACAGAATTTGTGGAATAATACAAGCCGCGCAGTTTTTCGGCGTTGATTAGGAGGAATGAATGCGGCACGTTTCTTTAAGTTTGTTACACTGGTGAACTATGAGTAATCGGAAAAGGCGAATCTGGCAGCGCGGTTTTGGATGGCTTCTAGGTTTTGGATGAGATAATGCTGGTGTGGGTCCCAAATTACTGCGGCATACTCCAATTTGGGGCGTATTATTGTGGCGAAAGCTAATATTTTTAAGTGGCTGGGAGCAAACTTCAGGGTTCTTTGGATATAACCTAAAGATTTTAGCCGTGGAAATGATGTAATTGATGTGTAGGGTCCATAATGGGTCACTTGAGATATGTATTCCAAGGTACTTACACAAGCTAGTCGGTTGTAGAAAACTGTTATGTAGGGCGTAGTTGTACTTTAATGGATTAGTACGTCGGTGAAAAGACACTTATCTACATTTAGAAATTTTTAAACTCATCTGCCACTTGTGACACCAATTTTGAACGGCTGTTAGGTCTGCTTGTAGCCCCGCCGCGGTGGTCTAGTGGCTAAGGTACTCGGCTGCTGACCCGCAGGTCGCGGGTTTAAATCCCGGCTGCGGCGGCTGCATTTCCGATGGAGGCGGAAATGTCGAGGCCCGTGTGCTCAGATTTGGGTGCACGTTAAAGAACCCCAGGTGGGCAAAATTTCCGGAGCCCTCCACTACGGCGTCTTTCATAATCGTATGGTGGTTTTGGGACGTTAAACCCCACAAATCAATCAATCAATTAGGTCTGCTTGTAAAGCTATTTGATCTTCATGACTAGCGATTGTTGCGTAAATAACGCAACCGTTGGCGAATAATCTTATGTTGTTAGCAATACAGTGGGGAAGGTCGTTAATGTGAATCAGGAAAAGCAGGGAGCCAAGGACTGTTCCCTGGGGAACACCGGAGAGAACGGGAGAGATTTGAGACCTAGCTGTATATACGACGACGAACTGTTTTCCGTCAGTGAAAAGGTTATTAATCCAGGACAAGACGAATGGGTCGAGATTAAGCAAAGAAAGTTTGGTCATAAGGTGGTGGTGAGGAACTTTTTCAAAAGCCTTTTCAAAGTCAAGAAATGGCATCAGTTTGGATGTTCCGGTCAAGATTTGTGTGCATGTCATGGATGAAGGCAGCAAGTTGCGTTTCACACGGCAGGCATTTTTGAAAACCATGTTGGGAAGGGTGAATGAAGTTGTGCTGTTCGAGGTGATTAATGTTGTTTGTAAATAAAATGTCCTCTATAATTTTGGATGGGATACTTGTAAGCGATATGGGCTGGTAGTTATATGGGGATGCTTTGTTGCCATTTTTGAACAAAGGAGTGATTTTACCGAGTTTCTAATCACTTGGCACCTGTCCCTGTGGAAGTGATTGAGGGAAGAGCAGCTGAAATCCTGCGCTAATTATCAATTGTGTATTCTTTAATATTTTGCTGTTCATGTTATCAATTCCACTTGCAGATGAGAGTTTCATTTTTCTAATTACGTTACTTATTCCATTTGCAGATATTTCAATAGGTGACATTGGCTCGCTTATAATAGACTGAAGGTTCTCTCCGGAGTTTCCAAAAAAGCTATGTTCACGCGTGAAAACAGCACAAAATGCATGGTTTAAGGCATTGGCCAAATCCATGTCACTGAGCGGTTTGTTATTAGTACCGGATAAAGTTATCGGCGAGATATTTCTTGGGTTTATTGTTCGCCAGAATTTGTTAGGGTTATTTTTGAGCATGTCTTGTAGTGTTAGAAAAAAATCGCGTTTCGCATTTTGAATGTTAATCGAGAGGCATCGCACAGAATCAGAATATTCTTTCTATAGGGACGGTTGGTTCTGTTTTACGGCGCGCCTGAAAAGGTGTTTTTTCCGGTTTATCAGTTTTTTAATCACATTGTTAAACCAAGGGGTGGATGTTTTGTTTTTAATTTTTATGCTTGGTATATATGCATCACTTAGTTGGTTGAGTTTTTTGACTAATGGCTTCCAATTGTTTACTATGGTGCGCTTGTTGAATCCCTGTATTGCGACTAATAAAGTTACTGATGTCTGCACTTGGCTTCGGTGTATCAAAGCATCATAGTACACTCAAACCTTGATGTAATGAACGGGAATATAACAAACTATTAGTTATAACAAAGTAAGGGAAGAGTAGCTTTTTCAAATATACAATGTTACGTATATATATTTATGAGAAATTTTCAGATATAATGAAGTATTTCATGCATGTGTGACTGTTATAATGAGGTGTGAGTGTATTGAAATTTGACTCTTAAAGAGGCGGAAAAGTGTTTGCTTGCAATTAGCTATGATAACATGTGTGTGTGTGTGTATGTATGGTCTTAACGTGTGCTAGTGATGTCGGTCAAGGTGTTTTGATGTCTGGCATTTCCGTAACGTCTGATGGTGGTGCTAATTGGCATGTTAAATTGCCCTTGCAGGTGCCTCGGGATCAGCAGTCCAAGCAGGGACCCTGGTTTCGACAGCCCACGGCTGAGGAAATCGAGGGCCACCGCGTGGTGGTGACGACCCTGTCGTCGTCCCAGATGCTCCTCACAAGCAACATCAAGAGAGGTTTGTGCAAAACTCAAGTGCAAGCAAGCAGTGTTATTAGTTGGCACACGGTGGCATTAACTAGTAGGGACATGCAAATACACTCAAACTTCATTATAACAATACATCTTTATTGAAAAATTAAATTTATCTTCGAAAGCTTGTTGTAAAGGTTTATTTCTGAAACTATAGCTATCGCAAGACCATTTTTCATTTACTTTGTTAGAACTGATATTTCATCGTACAGTTAAAGGGGCCTTGAAATACCTTTTTAAGTAACCATAGAATAAGTCACTGGAAAAGCATATTACCTCACAAATTGAACGCCACAAACTTTCAAGAACCCGTTAAGTACAAGCGGAGTTACAAAGATTTGTCACACGCTGCAATCACATTCTCTCCTCTCGTCTCGACGAAAGCGCTGGAAGCTGAGCAGGGAGGGATGTGAGGAGAAAACAGAAAACATCACTTGCGCTTCGTGACCTTGATCATTTTTTTCATTTTTTTCTTCGAATGCGCGGCTTTTTCAGTGCGATCGCGCATGCACACATGGACAAGTGACGGCTTCTCGCAGCAACCTCTGTAACAACCGAATGCGCCATGTTCAAATCAGCCAATGGCTGATAGATGGGCTTACTGGGCTTATTTCTCGTGATTTGTCAAGAGAAGAGAAAGCAATTTTTAGCTGACTTAGATAATTTGTTGTGAATTCCAGGCCGCGTGCTGCAATAAGATTTTGCTCGCAAGTTGTCGGGAGCCTCTACTACCGATCGGCACTGCACTGTTTTCTGATCATGTTAAAAAAGTGTTGCAGGGCCCCTTTAAACTTGAATATAATGAAATCGACAAATTCACAAAAAAATTCGTATAAAGATTTCACTATATATAGGTTGGGTACAAAAATTCAAAAAATAAATGCACAAATTAAACAAAGGGGAAGTGAAGGCAGAGCTGACCCAAAACGCTTACTTACCTGTAAAAATACAACGTATTTTTGTGATAGCGATTGTATGGATACTCTCAATGGGTTTTTGCTGTCGCCGCTGTGTTCCGTAACAACCACGAATTGATAACGTGACCCCGCGCACCGTAACATTTATGAGCGAGTAAAAGCGCGTGAGCGCTGCTGAAGCAGAGATCAAATGAGCCGGCCCATCTCTATTGCCTGAAGGGCGCATGAAATAAAATTCTCCCACATGTTAGAACTGCCGTCGAATGCTCAAACAGGAAGTAAACCACCGGTAATGTACAAACATGAACAAACTCGGGGGGGGGGGGGGGGGGGGGGGGCGGTCGCTCAAGTAGCAACAGTAAACTTGGATTTTAAGGGGGGACGCGGCTTTGGGATCGCGAAAAATGGCAAAAAAATCAATTTTTTGAAACTCAAGTTTTCAGTTTCTGGAACCCTTTTTCTATCTGGTTCCAAAATATCTACACTGAAAACCGCGCAGAAGTGCTTCGGAAAATTCGTTTCACCCACCTAGGTAGCAAAACTTCTTCTGGAAATGGCGAGAAAACGGCGATTTTCAAAAAATTATAGCTTCGCGATGCTTGGGCCGGGAGCCGGCTTCTTGGGCTCATTGGAAAGAGCATTTCTCCGTGTTTAACTTTCCCGCCTCAGCTGGCTCCTCCCTTTAACAACGAGCGAGCAAAAAGCAAATGTTTGAAGGTCGTTTTGAGGCCCTTGATTGGCCGTGGCCGCCATGTTGCCTCAGCTCGCCTCGCCATTGGCCCGATGCTCGCTCCGGGAGATCGTCGTCTGCTGCTTGTGCGTCGCGAGGACATGGCTCTCGAAGATCGCCACTTCGTGATGTGTTCACGGCTTGATAATCACTCAAGATATAACTACGCTTTAGTTACGAGCAGTAAGCGGATGCGCGATCAGGTTACTACGAGCGGGAGCGCGGTCTACGAGCGCCGCGCGTCATCGGAGTCGTCAAGCCCTAACTCCGCCGACAGCGAGACTGCGGGCAGGAACGACGCGCTAGTGCATTCGTGGCGACGTGCTTCTTCGCAAGCAACGAAGCTGTAAGCGGCGGCACGATCAGATTACTACGAGCGGGCACGCGGTGGTCTACGAGTGCGGCGCGTCATCGGAGTCGGCTTTAGGCCTAACTCCGCTGACAGCGAGACTGCGGGCAGGAACGACGCACAAGCGCACTCTTGGCGACGTGTTTCTTCGCAAGGAATGTACCACATCACTTGCTAGCTCCTCTGAATCTCGTACGGGCATTTTACGCATCGGCAGCAGACAACACAGTCAAGCTCGTCACCCCCCCCCCCTCACTGCCATGGATCGCTCGGAACAGCGGCTAGCAGTTTCGCGCGACGTCATTCAAAAATGCGATGCCAAGTGCAGTGCGTGTCGATTTTTTGTCTTCGTAGTTACACATTTCGTGCATATTCATCGAACGCCGCCGGCAAGTGCATTACGCGCCGGCTGCACTGTCCACGCGGCCGCGCACCCCACGGTCATATGGAGTGCTGTTAATAAGCTTTTGTGATGCGATTTAGACATGTGTGATGTGATTTATACGTGCTTGGAGCCGTGCTTGGTATCTCCACGAACCTCTATGAATGTTCTGAGGCAATGAAAGCCTTGTAAATTAGCGTTTCCGCGACCGGCTGTATGATGATACATTTGACGGCTAGAGCGGCAAAAGAGCACGTATGAATCAGGGGCAAGAATTTTTATATGCCCGTTTTACGTCATTAAATATACTGCTAAAAATTCCTGTGCCACCAGTTTTCTGCCCATAACTTTGTTATTTGGAAAGAAGGCATAGGCTGTCATGGTGTGATCCATTTTTCTGATGCAATAAACCTCTCTCTAAATAAAGAAATGTTCAGTGAATACTTATAATCAAGAACGTAATTACGCTAATTACATCTTCGGCACAAGAAATATGTGTAATCAATTCAGTATATGGTCTCATTCAATTACAATCGTTTCTGTCATGCCTATCACACCACTCCTTCATATAAAGAACTTGGTTTGAAATCCAAACTTGTTCTTTGTAAAACATGAAAAGGAAATTATGGGGGAGGGGGGGAAAAAGGGCCACCAAGGCACACTGGTCAGAGACCGAATACCTGAAAAGTCAAATATCACAAGACAAACCTAAGATCACAATCTTTAAGTGTTTTAGAGACGTAAAAAGAAGTTCAAACTTTAAATGCAGTTTTCTCAACACTGTTTTTTTTGGCATTATACCCAGCTCGTGGTGCAGCTATCTGGGCAACCACTGTACAGATTTTGATTCCGTTTATTTTGTGATGCTCCTTGAACTGTGCTTCAGGGGGCTGCGATCTTAGTTTTTCATTGTACTCCTTAAAGAATTTTTCATAGAGTTTCTTGTTTGTAGTGCAAGTGTGCTCATTGCAGGGTCGCTGGAGAAAACGTAAACTACAAGTTTTAGTGTTGCAAATAAATTATTTTGAGAACGCAGCCCCCTTCGACATACATTTGGCTGTGGATACAGCAATTACCAACCATTTTTGTCATTTTATAAATCCTCCAGCCCCTCCACGAGGTTCAATTGAAAAATAATTTGTCTCTCATGAAGTATTTGTGCTATCGCCTTGAAATGTTTGTGGATGCACGGTGAGGCCATTCTTAGTGTCTGTGCTGATTTTCATCATCCGACCAGGAACAAGAAAGTTCATTCTCAAAGAAACGTCCCCCCTTAAGGGCGTGGTTGCGATCACTGGCGTGCATTCTCTGTAAGCATCAGCGCGCTTTTAATGCGAAGAAACTGTGTTAAAAAAACACTTCTCCATAGAGTGGCCATATTTGCTTACACCAGCGTTAGGAGTTCGGCGATATCAGATCCAAAAAAAGTTGCCTGCCGGCCTTTCTTTGTATAACAATACAATTTATTGCTGTCGCACTCATTGCATTGCATTCAATGCTTCGTTATGTTGTTGTCAAAACTAATAATTGGCTAATCACGAAGGCTACGGTCCCCTGAACTCTCTGCGCAAACGAAAACGGGTGACAAGTCGGCCTCCGAAGATCAGTCGTCAGCCTGGTCTTGGAGTGTTTCCAAGTTGGGGGGTGCGAGAATTACGCGGAAAAAACTGTCCACGAAAACGTACAAAGCGAAAAAAAAAAACACAAAAAAAATCGAAGTGGCCACAAATCGAGATTCTCACACCAGCAACTAACAGCAAGCTTTGAGAAGTACTAATTAAAATTGACCTCAACAATAAAAGCAGAGGTTCAACTCAAGGCAACATTTATTCGAGACACAAAAAGGGCAGTCAAATAGTCGAGAATTAGAATATCATACGCAAAGCTTGTGTGCGTTGCAGGCGTAGCAGCAGTGTTCGTCGCTCAACGGGAGCCCTCAAAAGGTAAGCGTAGCATGTCAGTATTGGGCTAATGGTTATTTAACAGAATCGTCCGCAGTTCCCTTCTGAAGAAATAAAGTTTACCATCAATCTCAGTCTTAAGGGGAGATGCGAGTCGAAAAATGCGAGTGTTTTTCAAAATTACCGATTTTTTATTTTTGCCTGTTTTGATAAGATTAATACCTCTACTGTTATGAAAAAAATAATGCAGGTCGAGACCTAACTTGAAATGCTTTAAAATTGCATCTAAAAAGCACAATGTGCCTGTTAAAAGGTCGAAAGTGTGCAGTCTTCGAGCACCTTGCCGCCGATAATGCGCCGCCGCTCGCCATTGCTGATCGCATGGGTCGAAGAGTCAAGTTTCACTCTTCAAATACCAACAGTTTCTCTCGCTGATGCAGTGCAAGAAATAATAAAAAGAAGCACTCTTCCGCGTGTTTTTCGAGCGCTGCGACTGGCTTATCACATAGTACGAATCGGGGACCGCCAATGGCCGCTGCGCGCCTGTATGTGCTGTGAAACCTATTTGCGGGGTCCATGTTTTGTCTAGCAGCGCAGCTGAACAATGCTTTTTTCGTGTAATTATCTCCTTTATGAATGAAAAAAAAAAAAGCATTGCTCGCAAGTGAAAGCCGCTCTGTAGGAATAGGCTACAAGCAGCTGGTCCGATTTGCAGTTGTTGGCTTGCAAAAGCCAATGCATCAAAAGTCATTCACACCCGTCAGACGGAAAGTTCGTGATGCGGCAATGGATAACGTCAGCGCCAATCTTGACAGGTCGAAAGAGCTCGCGGTGAGAGAACTTAGCAGAGACGACATCGCCATTATGTACATTTTGGAGCCATGCACAGGCATGGCTGCAAAATAGCATGACACTGGACTTATTTTGGATTTCGCAGTCGTGTCGAACTTCTTCTTAGCTTGCAGTTAGCACAAGGCTCTGCCAGATGGAGCCTAAGTTTGGCAAGCATTTCATGGCCCTGTATGTGAGCGAAATGTCTGTGAGGAGGTGGCTCGGAAAATCCGAGAGAGACAAACTCATGGTGCTGGCGTATTTTAGTCACAGTGGCCACTACAAGAAGGATTGTTCTTTTTGGTGTGTAAATTTCATCTGATTTAATGATATCTTTCATAAATAAAAACTCAATTTTAACTTCGAAACTCGTTTTTTTCAAAACATAAATTTTGCCACTTTTTCCAATGTGCCCCTCTTTTTTCGGGCACTTCTACTGCTCTGATCTGCATGAAATTTTGCCCAAATTTTTTTCAAAGCATGACAAATGTAATTATCTAGTTTAAATTTCAATATTTAAATTCAAGTGCGATAAAAAAATTGTATTTGCTAGGGTAGGTGAAATATGGACTTTTACGTCTATTATTTTTTACACGTATTACATATTTTGTATCTGCTTCCTAATTAGTTATTTGCACTCTACACATTATTTGAAGCATTATGAGCTATGAATGGTAAAAAATTACAGAAGTTTAGGGATGAAAAGAGGGAGGCAAAAGGGATAAGGTTTTCACTTTGTCTTGTTGCAGAGCTAAAAGTATGTAACTTGCAAAAAGACTAATTATATATTTGAAATCAGCATGGAAAGTTCCATAAACAGCTTAGTTTCATTGCTTTAGGGTGAATATTAAAAAAAAAGTGTCTTCGAGTAGCATCTCCCCTTAAGCACACGGCTGGCCCAACGCGTCTTGGTGGCTTTCAGCTGCCGTCACCAGCTGCGAACACAAAACTCGTCGACTCCGAAGGGCCTACCGGCAGCCCTCCCGGTTGTCATTGTTCAGTGCACGATCAGTCACTTTCAACCTGAAAGCAGCTGTGTAGCTTCAGTATTGCCCCATAACATGACAAGATTACCGACACAAGATAACACACCGCAACGAGCACTTGCCGCTTTGACTTGGCTTGGATTGGATTGAATCTCCGTGCAATAATAGTGCGCCTGATGCTTGAGAGATGGCGCCAGATAGTGTGCGCTATCATCAACGGCTGGAACGAGCAGACGACATTATCGGGGCATTTTTCGTGTGTGCGATAATTACTTGAGAAAAAAAAAATCGTATTTTCGTTGGGCGATGTGGGGGGTGCGAGAATTATGCGAGTGCGAGGATTACACGAGTAAATGCAATAAAAGCATGGCACTGCCAATGCAAAAGAAGTTTTTTTTTGTTAGGGGAGGGCACATCCGCGCATGTGCCCCGTGGCGGCAAGAATGACGGAAACTCTGCCTCGTGAGGCGCAGGCCCGCCTGTCCACCTCGCGCACATCCGCACGCAATAACAAGCGCTTTGCTCTTGCCTGGGAGTCGCCGGGGCCACGAGCGCGTCGCCGCCGCTTTGCGCTTCATCGGCGGTGGGGCAGCCATGGAAGATATGCGCATGGTCGTGCCAAAATCACAGTCTGGGGCAAAATTTCTCTATTGTTCATGGTGAAAATTCGTTATATCAAGGTTATCTCTCGCTGTTAGTTTGTTAAATACAGGTCGCAAATACAGGTGCTTCTATGGAGTAATGGCGGAAATGAAAAAACTTCGTTATATCGAAGCATTCATTATGTAGAGGGTCGTTATAAGTAGGTTTCACTGTGTCCGGGTTTGTTATCTGGAAATTTGAGAGTAGTAAATTTTGGGTTCGAAGTGAATAGCGATTTGGTTGAATAATTATGAACTGAATTGTATATGTAGCATATCTTTAAAAATAAGTGGGCATATTTGTTATGACGCAACTAAGTTGTACAGTATTTTTTATAATAGAAAGAAGGTATGTGCAGTATTAAGGTAGACCTCGAAATAAATATGGCGAGAACAAGGATAATGTGAAATGACATGGCGAAACCGAGAGAATATAAGTATGTATACCTACTACTGCTACTCACGAGAGAACCTAAAGCAATATAATTAGGCTGGAGCGCTTTCGGCAGGCCTTGCATATAATGTAAAGAAATCTGCCATAGTCAATAAAGCGAAAAGTATACAGTTACTGCATACTGCTGGTTCTAATGTATGGGGCTGGAACATTGTCGTTAGCAGGGCAACCACAGAAGATGCACGCTCAAGCCAAAATATCAAAACTTGGGGCAAAATCTTTAGGTGGTTGGCAGTGAAAATTCGATATATCAAGGGGGTGCCTCCCGCTGCCACTTTATTACATACAGTCGAACCCCTTTGTAAGAGGAACTGACATAAGAGGCAAATGGGTATAAGAGGCACTAGTGTGCCTACATTAAAATACGTGTTGATAGGAAAATGCGTACGAGGTTCTCTGCTTACGAGAGACATCTCATACAAAAGACAAGAATTGCTCCCCAGAGCAGTCTCTTACAAAGGGGTTCAACTGTAGAGGATGTGGGGGAGCTAACACCCTCTGTAGAGTTGCTTACGCCTCATGGCACACATGGTTTGCGCATAGGCCCTATTTAGGGTACACAACTATCGAGCGGTAGGTGGCGTTGTGCTTGCGAGCGTGTATTACTACCATCATCATCATGGTTAGCACGGTAGCGCTGTTAGTGATGCCTGGCGGCAAGCCTGCGTGGTGGCACATGAGAGATGAGCGGTCTTTTTTGGCGTTTTGGTGGTTGGAGCGAGCGGTCCTCTCCCGCAGTGGGTCCGCGGTGGACGGCGCCGCAAGTTGTCTATGGTGGGCACTCGTGATGAGTCGAGCATTGGCACCGCCGCCTTGTGCTTGTTATGTTGTTGAGTGTTGTGGAATATTGTGTAAGGTTTTTCTAGCGGGTTGATCACAACTGATGTATTTTGATTCGGTTGATGCTATTGTTGTTCTAAAAGCAGTTAAATAAATGTCTTGTTTAGTTTGGTCTGACCATGTCTGCTGTGTTCATGTGTTCCAAGAGCGGCACGTTGCTTCTTTTACAAACCCCGCGAGGTCTTAAATACATGTGCTTTTATGGAGTAACAGCATGGAATAGAAAAACTTTGTAATATCTAGGAATTCGTTGCAAGGAGGTTTGCAGGTTTAACTGTGCCTGGTGGCATTATTCTCCCTTTCCAATGGAGCTTTGACCCAATGCTCATACACTCAGACACAAGAAGTACACCATGGGGGCCCCCTGTTCTTAAAAGTAATAAAAAAAAAGTTAAAACAGTATGTCACGAAGGGGACGTGTGCTAGAGAATATGTGTTGTGTGTTTGGTAACAAGACAAAAACGCTGTTTGCACTTGTTATGAGAAGGAACCGATGATAAGCAGTATTTTACGATGCACTCGCTGAAGGCCTTGACAAGCCGCTAGAGTTGTGCAAGTTTGGTCATCACGCTCACCGTGGCCTCTTTCCTCTCTCTCTATCTGTTTACACAGGTTTCTTCACGCACATTTTCATTGACGAAGCGGCACAGGCGATGGAGACTGAGTGCATTCTGCCCCTTGCCCTGGCTGACGAGTACACCAGGATAGTGCTTGCTGGCGATTACATGCAGGTGAAGCGAGCGACTGGACTTTTGTTTTGGAAACTAAAGTGGTTGCTCAGGCATGTTGGTACGAAACATTAAAGGGAAATGACGTAAAAGACGAAAGACCAGGCAGTTGAAGGACACATAAAACAGCGCTGTTGTATGTCTTTTGTCTTTCGCGCTGTTTCCGTTCAATATGTTTTGGAAAGTTAGCAGTCAGGCATGCTGGGTAGCACTGAGCTGTTAGGTCTGAACTGGCACAAAAGTAGGGTGTGGGATCACAGATTTCTTCTCCGATGCTAATTGTGGAATACTTCAGAAACTTGTGCTTTGAGAGATTTTGAGTGAAACGGGAAAGTCTTCAGGGCACATACTGTTTCACGTGCACTGCTTTTGCTTCATTGTGCGAGCGCAGACTTTTAAATGCCCAATCTGCATGTCGAGCAGTTGTACTGCGACAACACACTTATGCATGGGTTCTGTGTAGTGAATGCCAGCTGCCTGGTCTGTAGCGGCTGTTAATACTGCGGTCACATAGACTTGGTAGCAGCAACATTTGAATAACTGTTCATGATTGTTACGTTTCGGACATCGCACACCTCGGTACTTAAACGTACCGAAGAGTGTGCGAAATTTTCATGTTTGTTTTATGTTGTTTTTGTCTGGTACGGTTTATTGGGAAGTCTGTGTAGCTCTGGAGGCCTGAAAAGGTGGTTCGCTACCTTTTGCAGTGGTAATTATTCGTCAGCTTTTTTTTCCCCTCCTGCGTTCATTTTTAGGCAACTCGTGTTCTCAGTACACTCGTCTCGATATAACGAAATATCGGTTATAGCAAAGTACATGAAAAATAGTGTTTCAATATAGTATTAGAAATAGACCTCTATAGCAATTTTAATTTTGTGTTCGATTCACTTTCGTTACAATAAGGTTTGAGTGTACATAACATTTGAATACAGCAAAAGCTCGTTAATTCAAACTTCAATAATTCGAATTTATGGATAATTCGAACTGTAAGTTATGGTTAGGCCAAGCTCCATACAAGCCTATGAATAAAAAAGCCTGTTAATTCGAACAAAGAGTAGGTTCCGCCGCGGATAAGTCGAACTACGCGCCACCGCGCCGGCCGGCGGCTTGGCTAGTCACTTGATAGGGCGGCTGCTGAGTTAAGAGGCGGCGTGGACAGGGAGCGGAGAGAAAAACTGACAAACTGGCTCGGAGACCAGAGTGCAAAAAATAGCGCCGCTTACTCTTCAACCCCTTTCCCCCACAATCTCTCTCTCTCGGCGGCTGCCTGCTCTTCGTCCTATGTAACCTCCAAGATTTGTTTTTTTTTTTAAGCCCCAATCTCGGAGCCTTTGAAAATCCTGCATAGCTGTCGCTGTTGGACGGCAGTGCCATGACCAGCACGCAGCAAATCGGGTGCGTCGTAGCTTCGCTCAGCCTTCTCTGCAGTCTTTGTCTCAGATGTGCGTCATACAGCTCGGTTGTTGGTGCTGGGAGTAGCTTCCGACTGTCGCGATTCTTTGTGTTGGTGTTAGGCCTCGGCTAACGTTTGTTGTGGTAGCGCCGGTAGTGGCTTCCCATCTGTTTATAACTGCTCCTGTAGGACTGCTCTTGTAGGACATGCATTATACTATTTCACTCGCTGCGTGCGCAGGAAAGGACTAGGCATCAAACTCGAATTGCATCTGCAGTATCTGAGAAACGGCAAAACCTTGTCTGTTCTTTCCTGCACGTGCAGTGAGTGAAATAGTACTGCACACGTCCTACAAGAGCCTCTATAAAAGCCGATGCTTCAGGAAAGTAAAGTTAGTTGTTTGTTGGCACACTTTCTGTCAGTTCTTGTTCTGGGTTTTCAAGCTAGCGCCATGCTTTTCAAGTAACAATGCACCGACTGGCTCATCATGGCGCACAGCTTTCAGTGGAATTTAGAGCGTGCACGGGGCGGCCTCTTGTGATGGGCACCGTAACTATGCAGTCCACCGTGCTCAAGTTGGCCAACTGTTGCGAATTTTGTTATATGGCACGGTCATTTGCGTAAGGGGCATTATTTACAGAGAAAAAAGAGCGATTTGCAGCCGACTTTGAGAACTAGATTATAATTACAGGTCGCGTGCTGCACTATATTGTTTTGCTCGCATGTTCTCGGGAACCTCAATTACCAATCGGCGGCCGTTTCTGACCATGATGAAAAAGTGTTACGGGTCCCCTTTAAAGAAATAATTGGTGCTTTATCTGTTCCAGGTTGTCAGATGTCATTTGGATAAGCTGGAAAGGTGACCCAAAACCATTTCAAGTACACCTCATACGTGTTGCACAGGCTTTAACTTCAGCTCAAATACAGGTCTTATATGACTTATGATTGATGTTAGGCCTACATGGTAAACGAATTGTTTTATTAGATTTCAGTAACCTAACAAAAACATATTCTTTTCTTTAGTCATCTTGTGGTCTTGGCAAACTTTCTTCCTCCATGAACTATAAACTGTGCTTCTGTTCTGTCACCTGTAACCACTGTGGATATAGGTTTGCACTAGGCTTACCTACGAGTGCGATCGTGTAGGGGCGCGACATTCTCCACTGCCGCTGCGTGCGCCAACGTTGCAGCCGGGTTCGTCGTTTTCTCCGACGTGGCGCAGAAATCACGCACGAGGCAGGATAACAACAACAACAACAGGTTGATTAACCCGAAATGCAGGACAGTGCGACACTCACAGGCTTGCAGGCCGTATAGGGAACTCTGCAAGACCAAGCAAGTAAGCTTGCCTACGGTGCGAGGACTCACGCACTAGGTTTGAAGTCGAGCGCACGAACGAGAAGCCGCCCGCTAAGCAGCGCGTAAACCTCTCGTCAAGGCCTGAGAGCATCTGCCGCCACGAGCAAATTGTCGGGCGCATCTTAGCTCGTAGAAGAGCAGGATGTCATGTGCGGCTCAATATATAGCGCTGCGTTGTGATGTAAGCCCGCGCAGCGCGCCAGCGTAGCGTGCCCGGACATGCCAGCAAAGGATGGAGCTGATGCTTGGCCCGCCCAGACAAAGAGGCCTGGTGGCGCTGCCTGGCAGCCATCTTGGTGATTGACGGTGCTTATGTGCGCCTGGGCTTCGCGGCCGGCACGGGCACGGCAGCAGGGGAACGAGGCGCTATGTAGAAGGGCTCTCTCAATCCCCACACCACAGATGTCTGTAATTAAGCTCAGCAATATGAAAAAACATTTCTGGTGGTTGAGTAGTTTGCGCATAGTGTGTGCTTGCAGTTCACCCTTCATTGTCCTTTACTTTCTTCGATAACCTCCCTTTTTTGGTGCAGCTGAACCCAGAGGTGTTCTCGGTGTTCACACGTGAGCGCCGCCTGCACGTGTCCCTGCTGGAGCGACTGCTCGATGCATTCCAGCACGCCACCCGAGGCAGCGGGAACGCCCGGCACCCATGCCAGGTCGTGCTCGAAGACAACTACCGGTCGCACGAGGCATTGGTACGTTTTGCCTCGGAGAGCTTCTACGGGGGACGACTGCGTGCTGTCGGAAGTCCCGGGCCACACCATGTGCTCCACGCCCTGAGCTTCTTCGTGGCGCAAGGCGAGGACACGCCCCAGAATGGCAGCACCTCTTATGTCAACCACAAGGAGGTAGGAGTCGCCTTGGTTTGGGATGCATAAGTGCCGCCACTGTTATAAGTAACACAAACGGGTAGCCGTGCTCAGCAAAGCACCAGGACAGGCGCCGCACAAAGTAGAGTCCATCCCGGATATATTGAACTTGAACGGGATCGCAGCAAAATAGTTCGATATATTGATACATCGAAATGCAAAGTATGCGTACTTAAAGCCTAAATTAAAGAATTTCAGGCCACCGAAATCGTTACAAGCATAACAACAATTCGCTCACAGTATAATAAAGAAGAAGGTGTGGACAGCAAGTTACTGCACTTTATCTCGCACGAAAATAGTCCGTAAGCTTGTCTTGTGCGCCGTCTTGTTCCAGTCATCCTCAATATCACTGAAGCTTTTCAAATGAGCGAGTTCACTTCTTTGACCACAACAGCATTGATCGATGCAGAACGCCGATGCAAGCTTTGCAGCGTGGCAGAAAGTTGGTTAGTGGCGGCAACGAAGACGTTGGCATATTCATAACCGCACGAGTACGCTTCCGTGGCAACGGCAGCCATGATCTCAGCATGGATGCAGTCAGAAACAGCTACATCGTCATCTGCACCAATGGCGTCTCTCATCACTGTCCGAGATGGTGCCCGAAGAGCTCGCTGAGGCACCGTACGTCGTTGTTGGCAGTCATGACGCACCCGAAGTCGTCACCTGGCTTACAAGGAAAGTTTATGACGGTGCTTTACTTGACGTCGCTCCAATCACTAGTCACAATGTTTACTGCTACGTGCGGGTCAATGTTCTCTTCAATTCTCGAATGACGATTTATGAAGAACAAGGAAAGATGTACACTAGTCAAATGCTGAGCGCCTACTGTCGATATTTTGGCGATATCGATGTCACTTGTGGCTTTGTAGCCGGCAGCCGTCGCTTTGATGCGAAAAGCTAGAAAAAGCATTGCCTCCGAGGCATGCATTTTAAAACCAAAAACACTAAAAATATGTCACGAGGTTGCACATCTCGAAGGCCATGCTTTTCAGGCTCACATGCCATTGTTCGCAGAAAAACAAGGAAGGCAATGCATACATTGCTACGACATCGCCGAGTCGCTTCACATTCTCATTTTAGTGTCATCGGCAATCGGTCTTTTTGAAAAACACTATGCCCGCCTCGTTTAGACCTGCAGATGGCGCATCAAACATACCGGTGCACTCGCAAGCGCCGTGCTACGAACCAGATCAGTGAGATAGAATAACCCCGCCTTTTCTTCACCTGCGCGCGATAAGGAAACAGAGCTTGTTAGAATGTGGCCGAAAATTGATCGAAGCTGCAAAATTCACGCTGCACAATGTTTATACCAGAGTATGTGTGGCAAAGTGGGAGGAACTGTAGCAGACGTCGCACATGTGGCCCTAGCTCTGGCACTGATTGTGCTTGCGCCACAATATCTTGCGCGGCGCCCACTTTGCGGCTTAAGTAGTGTGGCCACGTGTGCCATGTTATGTGTAACAATGGCCGTACATGTGCATTCAAGTGCAATTTGAACGTTATCACACGAGCAATCTTTTTTCCATGGTTAGTTGTTCCATGCCACAATTGCCTCTACGACGAACTGTGCAGGCTTTTTTATACAGTGACATCTCGGTATAACAAACTTAAGAGGACCTCAGAAATTTGTTCTTTATTTTGAAAGGTCGTTATAGTGAGAGCTCAAAAATTAACCATAAATACTTATTTTTCACCAACCAAAACGACTTACCTTTACAACAGTAGGTCCTTCAACTTGTTTTTCATGAGAAAAAAAACAAATGCACAAGTAAACAACGAAAAAGTGCACGTTTACTTTAAAGAAGTCTGTGATATTTTTTTTTTTTGACACGAGTAGCACAAACTTTGCAGCGCAAAGGCCTCCAGCTCATCCACATTCCTTTGGTGCGATTCGGTTCTTTGGTCACAACAGCCTGCTTTTTGCCTTTCAGTTGCCGAAGAATATCCATTGTCTCGCTTAGGGACAACTGCTTCCGCTTTTTCGTCGCAAGCAGAGATGAACTCATTTGTAGTATCATCGCAGCACGAACGCAGACTTGCTTTGCGTACGCGATAAGTAATCACCGAAAAGATATATGAACACGACTGAAAAAACAAGGCCTCTAAAGAAAAACCCGAAGCGTCACGGCTGTCATCGCCTGTTTTGAAGAAAAAAAAGTGCTAAAAAGAAAAATTCCTCGCGTTTTGTTTTCGGCTCTCTCGCTGTCTCAGGTTTTCCGCAACCATGTTTCCTGCTCCGCAACTCCCACTCCGTCTCGCTGACCTTGTCCTCCCGTGTTGCCCTAGCTTCTGCACCCTCTTGTAAACCTGCATCGTCAACGTTTCAGCAAAAAGAAAGAAAAGAAAGTCCCCTTTTCATTTTATTTTCTCCTCCGCTCCATCACGCGTCTTTCGAGAAGCAAGGTGTTTGTTTGCTTTGTCGTCTGCTTGCGTACCGCTCCAGTGGTCGCGGTGGATTTCAGAACTTAAGTTTGTAGTACCGAGGCATTGTTAATATAACACGAAACTAAATTAATGCTCGTTATTCTGAAAAGTTTGGTATTCTGAAGTACGTAGTAGTGAAATAGTTTTACATTGAAACTACTGTCTAACCCCGCTACAACGAACGCCACTTCAACTAAATTTTCGCTACAACGAAAAATTCACGGTTCCCCGTCAGCAGTCTGTAGTAGTCAATACATAAATATTGTCGCCACAACAAACACTTTTTCTTCTGCCGTCCCGCTTCAACGAAATTTCACAATGCAATTCCAGGCTCAGATATTTATTGCTATACAGAAAACCCAATATTTAACACTTTGATGCAGTTTTGGAACCTGGAAATACATCAATGAAGTCTAAAACACGCTTTGGCACCACCAGAAACCGCCGCTGTTCAGCAACCATGTGTGCCGCCATTGCTCGATAGCGATAGCAATGAGACTGCCCTGCTCATGGAGGATGGCCCTGCCTTTGCCACTGGCTTGTTTTGGAGCCGCAGACGATCTGAAGCGGAAGCTCAGTCGCTCAGTTCATGTGCTTCCTTCGCGCAGCTGCTGTGTGCAACCGTGGAGCGATGCCTTTTCCGGTTTCAATGCTTATTTTATTTATTTATTTATTTATTTATTTATTTATTTATTTATTTATTTATTTATTTATTTATTTAATACTGTAAGCCTTTCTCAGGCTAATACAGGGTGGGCGGGCAAATAAACACAGTCGCGTACAAACCAGGCAATATCGCACATAACGGAAGAAACAGAATTACAAGATGATGGTGAAAATAAAACTTGAACGATGAAAGCAATTGTACAAAATCACGCTTTATTCACGCTTGGCCAGTGTGGTACCTAATCAGAGCGGCTGTTCGTCCTCATTATCAACCAAATCAGCCAGCCATGAAATTTTGATGATAAGAATGGCATAGAATAAGGCAAAAGTCACCGCTCCACGATACCCTACCTCCATCTCGGCGTTGTCGGATACACTTCAACGGCAGACATCTGCTGGTGTTAAGGTGGTAATGCAACTGTTTGGTACGTTCACGAAAGTGGTTATAGGCATTGTTCCAGCATGGTTTTCACCATGGCCTCGCTATGCATGACTGTGAATCGCGTCGCGACGCTGCTGGGAAAGAATAGGAAGCAGCGGACACATTTTTAATTTTAAGAATAAACGTTCCTTTGTTTAGGTAGCTCAGATCAGCTATATTTTTTTCAATTTTACCACGAAATTCTCGCTTCAACGAGATATTTTCCGCGCCCCTTGAGTTTCGTTGTAGCCGGGTTCGACTGTATTAGCAGTCGGCGCGGGATTTTTTAAAAGTGCGTTAATCTGAAAAGTTCGTTAATGTGGGGTTCGTTCTACCGAGATTTCACTGTTTTATTAGTCTGCCATTTGTGATTCATGGTAAGGAGGCGCGTACTTCGTTGGCTGCTATTGCCGGGAACGATAAGGAAATTGATGAGGCAGTTGTGGTAAAACTGATGTTTGGCACTGCTTCGATTCGGCAACTAGCTAAGTAGTTCAAAACTATGGGTGTGCGAATATTAGAATATTTTTTTAATTGTGTTTGCTATTTGATTCGCACTGGAAGTTTACTATTGGAAACTATTCAAACCTCTCGAAGCATAGAGTCAACATCAGATTGGCAGTGGCGGCTTCATATTTTCAATATGCTTCACCCCACCACATTTTGGTATTGTGGCAATGCTCTCCTTCATTTTTTTCCCTACAATTTCACTTCAAACTATTGAAAAAGTATTCTAGAAATATTACAAAAAATAATATATTCGATTGGCACTGGCATCTTAATACAGTTGAAACCTGCAGTAACCAACACGACGGGGAAAGCAAAAAAAGAAATTCATCTTGCAGGAATTTTGTTGATGCGACAATGCGGCAGAAACGACTGGATTGGCTAAAGACACATTTTATTGCCAAAAGTCAATAACCTTACTTTGTCGAGCCTTTCTGATGTTCACAAAACCATGCCAACACTGTTTTGTCCACGTCCTGGAATGCTGCATGTTTTGTTTCTTGCTCTCGTGCCGTTTTCAAGCACACCAAGAATGGAGGCCTTATTCTCGATAATTGCAGAAAGCAAGCTGCACGCAATGCCGGATTCATCAGGGATGCCCATTTTTTCTCTTCCGTTTTCCACACAAGTAGCCATGGCGCCAGTAACCGTTGTGGCTACCGGCGGCACTGATGGACACTTCCACGTTTAATGCACATATATACCATATAAAGTGGATGAGGGGGATGGCCACTGTGGTAGCTCAGTTGGCAAAGCATTGGACACATTATTCGCAGGTCGCAGGCTCTGTTCCTGCCTAGGGCTGCCTAGGGAAAGTTATCTTTTCGTGCACTTTTGTTTCTGCACATTTGCATTGCAGTTAATTTTAATAACATCCCCTATGCTATTCTAGGCATGATTGTCTGCTAGATCTCATTAATACTGTGTCCAACAAAGAAAACAAGCCCTTAAATGTATACTTCTGTGGTTCTCGCTATCAGGTGCTTGAGGTGTGTGATGTCGTCAAGCGGCTGGTGGAACAGTGGCCCATGACTTGGGGGCCCCGTGACCCATCGACCGTGGCAGTCGTGACGCCTTACTACGACCAGGTGAGTGTCATGAGCCTTCCAAGGCATACACACGGGAATGCTGCTCTGTGAGCTTTATCTCTAGAGAAATATGTTGACTAGTTCAGGGTCTCGATATGGCGAGCGCCACGCTCTTGGCGAGCGCCACGTGAACGGACACAGCAGACGGGGTCGGACCAAACCATTCAACACACACATTTATTTAACTACTTTTAGAATGACAATATCGTCAGTGGAACAAATATAACATGAATTGTGATCAACACGCTAAGACATCCTTACACAATAATGCCACAGTTCGACAGTCGAAGAAGATGCGTGCAACAAGTCGCGTTCGTGAAAGCCGCCACACAAGTGGTAAGAAAATCGCGCCATGCAACGCTCCACGATGTTATGCCACAGAACCAGCACGAGGCTCGAGGGGTGAAGAAGAAAAGACCGACGAAGTTCGAGACAGTGAGTAAGGGACATTTTTGGCCGACCATAAACAAGTTGAAATGGCGTGAAGTGGGTTGCGTCTTGTACTGCGGTATTGTACGCAAATGTAGCATACAGTAATATGGTGCCCCAAGTCCGATGCTCGATGTCCACATACATTGCGATCATGTCAGCAAGCATCCTGTTCAACGTTTCAGTTAAACCATTAGTTTGCGGATGGTACGCTGTAGTTTTTCTGTGGTCGGTGTGCGTTATTTTCATGACAGACTGTACTAGCCTGGCAGTGAACGCAGTTTCTTTGTCAATTACAAGGACTTTAGATGCGCCATGTCGCAGCACTATCTGGGTCACAAAAAATTGAGCCACTTCATTTGCCGTTCCTGAGATGACGTCTCGGCATAGCAGGTCATATAGTAGGTTGCGACAACTATCCACCACTTCCCGAATGATGACATACGAAATGGTCCTAGAAAATTCATTTCCACCTGCTCAAATGGGACTTTCGGTGGTTCTATCGGTTTCAGAAGACCTGCTGACTTTAGGGGCGGTACTTTGCGCCTTTGGCATTCTCGGCATGATCTGACATAGTGCTGTTCTGAATCCAGCAATTTTGGCCAGTAATATCTCCGGTGGATTCTTGCCAAAGTCCTATTCCCGAATGCCCGAGTGACCTGCCGACGGGTCATCATGACACGCTTCTGAAATTCACGCTCGCAGTGACGATGGTATCAGAAACAGGAACGTCTCGCCGGTGTGTTTGAAGTTCCTCTTGTAGAGAACGTTGTTGCGGAGGACATAGGAATGTAATCCACGGACGAAAACTCGCGGTACTTCGACTTGCTACCCCTTTAAGTATTAAATGAGCAGGAGTAATCCTGGGTCCATTTACTGATCATGAGCCATCTCATGAGTTATTGGTAACAATATTAAACAACACTCAACAACATGACAAACAAGGCGGTGTCGCCAATGCCTGACTCACCACGTGGGCCCACCGCAGACGGCCCACAGTGCCATCCATGGCAGACCCACCACTGTAGGTAACCGTTTGCGTAAACGCCTCACGCCAAACGGACTCGCTCAATTCTCTCGTGCCCCACCAATGCTTGCGGCCAGGGGTCACTGCCGGCGCTACCGAAATGAGAGAGGAGCGTTAGGCTAGGAAAGTTTTCAGGTACTTGTACATGAAGAATGTTGATTCTAAACGGAGGAAGCGAACTCGAAAATTGTCAAGCAAGTATTTAAACAACAGCAGAATATCAAGCCAAAAGGAAACATCAGTTAAGAAGAAGGTGAAGGAAACAGAGAGGGACATGTGGAAGATTGGAATGCTTGCGAAATCATCACTGGAGACCAAGCTTTCAAGCAGGAAATTGCAATAGAGAAGATCTACGATAATTCTCGGGGTAGTTCTCTGCTATTCAAGGTCAGAATGGCAGTATTGCGGACCAAGACGTACCGAGCCAAATATGAAGGCACAGGCACGGTAGGTAGTGCGTGTGGAGAGGAGGAGGAAACGGCTGAACATTTGATAATGTTCTGTAAAGGGCTTGTGGTGTACACGTTTCCGACGTACACGTTCTGTAAAGGGCTTGAGGGCACGTTTCCGACGCTTCTGCGGCAAAGGCAATGGTAAGCGCCGGCGGGCTGATGAACGGCTTGAGTTGGCAAAATGGGCCATCACGATAGCCGCCATTCACAATGTCCACATCGATACCGGTTTTAAGGAGAAAGTCCCGACTGAGAATCACTGGAACATTGAGCCCTGGAAGATGAACAAGACGGGAGCGTCTCATTCGATCTCCCCATCTGACAGTCAACTTTGCAGCGCCTGCCAAATGGGTCACGCCTTTTGCAACGGTGAATGTCGTTCAGCTGTCCCGCAAGCGCATTGAGTGCTTCTGCAAGTTGGACAACACCTGTTCGCCGAACAACGAGGGGCTAGCGCCCGTGTCCACCAAAGCCGAAAATTCACGGCCGGCAATGGTGACCGGAATGAACGGTGCGTGCGTATCAGCAAGAAAAGAGCTTGCCTTGCACGTAGAGGAAAGAAGCAAAGGTTGGGTCGCTCGTGCATTCATAAACGACCCGGAAGCCCGTTTCCCTGCCTCGCAGGAGGCCTGGATCGGGCGCATTCCCTTGCTATGTGCCCTCGTTCACGGCAGCGGTAACAGCGCACTCCATTATGGTCTGTATTCCCAGATGGAGCAGCCTCGAGCTGTCGTGATCGGCTCGCTACGTTACCGCTGGATACGTTTCTGCGAGCCGCACCTCCCGCATTACGTTGGGTCGGAAAGCGTCCCTGTGTGGAGGTTTCAGGTGGAGCAGCGCAAGCTGCCCGCCTTTTATGCGTAAAGGGGTCAAGAGCGCGATCGCTCAACTCCCACGCACAGCCAGTTGCAGTCGCAAAGGCGGCGCCGAGAGGCTGTTGCCGTTGGGGAAGGGTCATGGCCCCTCTCCAAGTGCAGGGCGGCTCAAGGGCATCACTGGCTGGCGGCGTTCGAGGCTCGGGGCTCAGCGATAGAAATAAGTTCATCCATCGCACGTACATACTCCTGCAAAGACTCGTCAGGAGCTTGTGTACGGAGCTCGAGCTCTCGCCGCATCCTACGTTCGTAGTCAGCGGGTACGAACTCGCGCAAGAAGACCGCACGAAACTCCTCGAGGGTTGCTGCACGGTAACCGGTAAGCCGATACCATCTCGCCGCCGTGTCAGTCAGTGCAGCTGGAACAACACGTTCGAGCACCACCTTATTATCATCCAAACCCATCGCTCTCTGATAACATGACAGAGAGTCGAGGTAATCTCGGGCGGTGAGCTAGCTGATCACCGTACCCGCCCGGTGAGCTGATCACCGTATAACTTAACAGCGGGGTGACCGCTTTTCGAACCAGCCGAAAGCGTTTGCACAGCTACCAAGAGTGCTTGGATCATCTGCATGGCGTTTTGCAGCAACGTCTGCGTCATCGCACCGGCTTCGTAGGAAGCCGTTGGTGCGTTAGCGGCGCGGTCGAGCGAAGGCGAGCAGTCGCCCAGCTCGATCAGTGGGGCGGTTTCAAACAGACAACCGCCCTGCGCGCCATTCCCAGAGCAAAATAGGCTCCTTGTGGGATTGGCCTGTTGTCGAACCGAAGGCGCACTTGGTGCGGCTACCATCGACAATTCAGGCGCCTGCTCAGCGTGCGTTCGAAGTGTCGGTTGCACGGCTGATGGCGGGCAAAAGTCGGCGAGGGCCAAGGCCTGCGCCCCGTCAATTCCACAGGGAACCGACTGCGAATGCTGTGCCGACGAACTGCCATGCATGCCGAAGGGCACATTAGCAGTCGGAGGCGCTTGTGCGTAACGTTCGGGTAGGGCAAGAGGCCCATTCCGAAGCGACGCGCCATCTCCAAAAGGAGCGGCTAGGCGCCTCGTGTCGTCACCGCAATAGGGGGCGCCGACACGGACGGGTGCCGAAGGGTTCCCGTCTATAGAGGCAATAGCCTCCTTGTGAACGCGGCATCCGCTAACAGGGACAGCGGACAAAAGTCCCGCGAAGCAGCCATGTTGCGACGAGCCCGAATCGCGCAGGCGAACTGACTCTCTAAGAGCAGTGAAAAGCTAGAGCTTTTGATACCGCGTTGGGCGCCAGTGTGGTGTACACGTATCCCGAAGGAGTACGGCCACCAGCGTGGGTCCGGTCTTAGCGAGCCGCAGGGCACGCGTTAACCGTCGCCGTGGCGAGAACACGATGCTGCTCAAAGTCGCAACACTTTATTGTGGCAACACCAAACGCAGTACAGCCCGTTGCAAAGGCGCGGCGAGAAAGCAAATAGGCTTATTCACGCCACGGGCATAAAAGTACTACACAGGGTGCCACGAGCACATCTCCGCGGTAAAGGTGATCCACGGAGACACCGGGACCAAGGCCCGGTTGCTCGAGCGAGGGCAAAGGCGCTAGCGTTGGCTTCGAAGAGAGACGGGTCGGCATAGCTGGGCCACGCACTAGGACACCGTGCCGCCCTTCGGCCGTGCGTACGCAGTGGGGCAACAAAAAGTGAGCGTTCGCCTCGGGCACGAGGTGCCGTCAGCGAAGTCCGGCGAGCCCCGAGCGACGGGAGTCGACGGACGGAAAAGATTGCGTGGCTCGCCGTTTGCAGTCCCGGAGAGTGAGTATTTATCCGCTCCTAACGCAGCGCGCGAAAACCTCTCGGGAGATTCCGCGCGCGGCGCCACAGTCAACATCCGCTACCGGGTGAGGGAGTGAAACGTCACTCTGCTCTCCCAGCGCGGCAGACAGCAAAGGAGGGCAGACATGTCGGGACATGAGAACGGCAGAAAAGGCGGCAAAGCCCGCGCAAAGGCAGTGGGCTAGCCTCAATTCCCACAGGCTCCACCCTATAGTCCAAGGTAATGGCGCGGAATTTTCGAAAGCAGTCGTGTTAAGGGACAGCGAAGGCAAAATAGACTTTAAACGGGTAGAAATAACCAGGAAAAGGCTAACTGATTGGTGGCTACAAATAAGGTTCGTGTGAAATTCAATCCTTAAAGGCATAGTGATACAGTCGAGCTCACATATAACGGCCCCACTTAAAACGAACTT